CACCAGCAGTGACAGACCTGGGAGACAAATGAATAGAAATGCTACATAGCCAGCGGAAAAGGGCGGACACCAGCAGTGACACAAGGGCGGACACATCTCAAGAAAGAATTGAGAACCCCTAACAGTAAACTGTTTGGGGAATAACTGCACATCATAACTGCAAACAAGTAATCTGCAAGAGGCCAACGGGAAAAAGCTATGGGATAGTGGTCATCAAAAGTTGTCTTAGAGTACAAATTGTCTTAGAAAAGGTTGACTCTGCCGTGGACTCTACCCCAACAGCATGTAGTAGCAGGAAGTTGCCTGCGAGCCACACCGTTTCAGAACGGTCCGCGCTATGTGTAGCAAAGCAGAGCCTCAGACAACTCCGAACGCTAAGGCTCAAGGCTCAAGACACACAGATTTGTGCCAAATGATCTGATGTAGAACTAAGCAAAATAACGCTCTGAATGATCTTCTCGATGGATGTGCTGGCGATGGCAGCGGTCATCACACGCAAACCAAGCACTCAAACCATACATTCAAACTGTTTAAACTACACTGCAACAAATGAACAGCTGTCTACACAGTCTACACATGAGAATTGCAAAAGAATTGACGGACGGAGCACCGAAAAAACAGGCTGCAGCATCTTGTGGATTTTTGAATCCATCCCACGCGGAGCCACAGAGTAGAAAAGTCTCCCAGGCTCCTTTGTGATTTGCAGTTTGGAAAACCATCCGGAAGTGAGGGTCTCTCTGATCATCTCTCAAACATGCATGTACCCTCAAAGTTCCGAGGCATTTGCTAGGGCCTGAACAAAAAGCATTAACTGGTCCTGGATGTAAATCCTAGCACAGGGATCTGCCAGCACATCTGCCACATGGATCTGTCAAACTGCATGCCGACCAACGATCCACAATGGTTCGGCTTGAAACGGATTCCTGAAAGAGGCGTAGGATACCACGCTGCTGGTGGACGGAGCACTGCCTCGAGGCAGATCTGAACCGTGCCTGGAAGTGGACAAATCCTGGACCTGCGCTCCGGTTAACATGCTTGGAGGTTGCGACCGAGGCCCCACGTTCCCACCCCTTTGTAGCTGATTTTCTTGAGATTCAGCCTGGGACGATTGGTCTGGCGACACTCGTGATCACCTTTGAAAGCTGAACTGCCTTAACGCCGTCACTGGCAAACACAGTCAACCGCATTTCCTCCGGCAGTTGGTACCCAACCCGCAAAAAGCTTGCAACTAAAGTTGTTGTACTTGCGACAGCAGTTCAAACAGCCTATCAGAATTTGTACAACGCTCCACCCGGTCTCTCAAACAAAGGTTCGAGGAGCTCCATGGGGCTTCCTAAAGAGCGGCTCATTCTTTTCTAGCGACACTGTGTCCAAATGATATTGCAAAAGGAACCAAACTGTAATCTGGTCCGCCACACCATCACCTGGAACATCACCATGACCACCATCATAGAAGCAGCGCATGATGCGCCGACCGCTGGAGCAACCTTTGTAGTCAAAACATCGGAAGTTCTGCTGGCCGCCATCCCAGTAGCTTTTGGCTTCGGACGCGACCGTGTCACACTCGTGCACCGCGGCCCAGCCTTGCTGCACTTTGTTCAATGGCTCGTAGATCCATCCAGGCATAAAGCCTCCAGAAACACCACCTTGAGGCGGCATGATGTCATCTTGTCTTCCATGCAGCTGCAGCATGGCCGTTTGTCGGCAGCTTTTTTGTGTCCCGCACTAGCTCGAACTCTGCACCCAAACCATAACCCAGCAAAGGAAGGCCATACCAAGGCACCACTGCCGCGAATGTGCCAGGGAGTGACTGAACCAAATAGTGTGCCAACATGCCACCATTGCTTTCACCCATCACATAAACACGAGAAGGATCAATGCAAAGGACTGAGCTCACAGCTTCGATCACTGAGTACACGAAAAGTCGCTCATCGTAGCAGCCAGACCAATTGCAACTTCCACATTTGCCTTGCTCCCAACAAGAGGCATAGCAATCTGTGGTGACTTCATCCTTGATGCAGGTCTGCTCATCACCTGCCGTCCCGACATTCCAGCCCGTTCCCAAGTCACCACCTCCAGGAACAGCATCATCTAATCCTTGTGGGTAGACACTGACAAAACCTAAGGTCTTTCCAAAGGTTCCAAAATAGCGAGAGGCAGCAAAATCATCAGCTTGGTCTCCCTGTGAATGAAGAGCAATGAGCAGTGGCACAGGCCAGCTCTTGCCGACACCTTTGGGCACTTGGATGTAGAAGGAGCGATTCACTGGCATGAAATCCATTAGCGTCAAAGGAACCCAACCTTCAAAATCCTCACCTTCTACATTTGTGTTTTTGCCTCCCAAGTCTGCCCAACTCTTCCTGGATGTTCCACATCCGAAGGAGCGGGGAAGTTGATCTTCACCGGCCTTAGTCGCATTTGGCAAATCCTTCAGCCACTCACGCTGCTGAACCTCCCCTGGAAGGTGAGCTGTAGAGGGTGAGCCCCACAGAAGGCTCACAGCGACCATCCAAATGCCCTGCATGTTTGTTGGCAAGGTTGGAATGAGAAGTCTTGGAGGAAAAAAATGCTGATTTGCCTGTGTGAGGTGTTCATGCTTTTCCGGAAAACATCACACTGCTTGAGCCATCAACTGTGCATTGCACCATATCTTCTTGGACTATCAGCAAAGCGAATCTAATGTGTTCATTGGATAACATGACGGCCAGGCCTCTCATCGTCACCTTCCTGGGCAACTGTGTTTTATTCCAAACTGTGGCTGCCAATATTGATATGTTTGATGTAAATGTCTCGCCAGGCCTCAAAAGAGGTAGCAGGATCGCCCATGGCAAGCTTGACACTCATGTGCCCTCTCTCTGCTTTGTCGAGTCCGGCGTCTGCCATTGTGTGCTTCAAATGTTGCAAGAACGACAGGATAGATCAAAATGACTATCTACAAAAGATATCATGTCCCGCATGCACACTGTGGAGTGCCTCTGAACTGGTCAAGGACTTGTAATTGATTTTTTTCTCCCCAAAACAAGACAACGAAGGCGGCAAGTCTCTGCAGGGGCTTCACCATGTCGAGCAATTAGATCAAGCTCCAAAAACACCAACTGGCGCTTGAAACATGCAAAGTACGCCGGCACTGAGATGAGGACATGCCATCATTGGGAATGATCAGAATTAATCTCTGCTCAGACCCAGCACCCCAGAAGGCAGCCTCTTCTCAGACTTGGACGACCACAAGATTGGCGGCCAGTCAACGAAGTCAAAGACCACTTGACCAAGCTGCTTTCTTGTAAATACCATGGAAGGACGCGGCCTCCACTTCCTTACCATAGCACAGAACGCGCCTGAGTGTTGTGATTCCACTCTTCAGCAAGGAGCCCAGAGTGATTCTGCACACCTCTTTCAACGCTTGTCTGTGCTTTGAGACGCTTTTGGGTCTGGCTCGGGTCATTTTGACCAAAGAATCGACTGAAGGATAGCTCCTCTTGTACAGATGGTGACCGATGCGACCTTCTTGGACTCTCGTCAACTTGCAATTGAGCACCCACTTGAGTACCCATCTGGCCCATCCCAGTACCCGTCGTGCTGTCCTGCATCCTGAGATTTGGCAACTTCACTCGCACATCTTGCACATCTTGGATGTCTTGTACATCTTTGGCCGCTCTTTCATGAGCCATGCTGCTTGGTGGTGGCGTTTTGTCAAGAGCAAGAAAGCACGGATGGCCAAGCAAGACCCCTGCAGCATGTCGGTGCGAAGGATTGCAACAAAGCATGCCTGCCAGCAAGTTCAATGTAACTGTGTCTAAGATCAGTACCATTGACAGGTCCTGTCCTGAGCAGTTTGGAAATTTCTCGGACCAGTAGGGCAATCCTGTCACCCCAGGCCAAGAGGCCTCTGTGGGTGTTCCAAGCAAGTCGAACTGACAAAAAAGCATGCCAATCTCACACCTCGCAGGAAAAATTGGCTTGGATGTTGCCATCTCTGCAATGACGCAGCCAGCTGACCAAAGATCAACTGGCGTGCCTTTTGTTTCTGCGCCTAAGAAGATCTCGGGGCTGCGATACCAAAGCGATGCAACCCGTTGGGTCTGCTTCTCTCGTGAATACGTAGCTTCCAGTCTACTCAAGCTGAAATCACAAAGCTTGACTTCATCTGTCTTGAGTTTGATCAAGATGTTTTGAGGCTTAACATCCCGATGTGATATGCACCGTGAATGGCAGTGTGCCAGGCCACTCAACAGTTGAAATGCATATCGTCTCAGACTTGAAAGAGGTAACCTCCCAACCTCTTGCAGATGATTGCCCAGATCGCGATCCATTTGCGTGAATACCATGTAGACCAACCCACGCTCAGTAAAAACATCCAAAAGAGGTACAATGGCGGGATGATCACCTAGTTGCCTCAAGAGAGAAACTTCCCGCAACGCCTGGGAACTTGCACCAAACATACACATCCGCTGTTCTTGTAGAGCGGGATCAGCTGGTTCTTCCCCTGCCAGTCCGCTCTCTTCAAGTTATAATTATACTTAAATATAGATATATATATATATTATATCTATATATCTTGGTCCCTTGTTAGTGGTTTCATACAAGCAATGAGCAACTTCACTCTGAACTAGTTATAGCAAAGTTTCCTTAAACTTCCTCAAGAATGTGTCTGCGCCTCCATCATTCAAGTAGGAAAATCTTACCTTCTTGATCGCAACAATGTTTCCAGTCTGCATGCACCTTGCTCAGATGTCAAGGAGCAAAAGTGCAAGACTTACACAAGCTGGGCAAGTGGGTGAGTTCATGTCTGTCTCAGGCTCCATCCGGTATCGAGAAACTACTCCACAGGATCCCTTGCCAATCGTGTCGAGCTTTTGGTACTTGTCTGGTGGTCTTGCCTGATCAAGCTGCTTGAAAGTCCAGAACGACCTACCAACACTGGATTTGTTACCTACAGGCATGCAACAAATCTCAGGCTCCCACCATGACGTACAAGCCCAAACATGCCCAAAGCTTGAACCAAAAGAAAAGGCGACTCTTACTCTTATCAATTCTGGTGATCTTTGACCTCCGAGCCTGGCCAACTTCATACAATTCGATGAATCCTGGGTTCCAACTACAGTAGATTTTGAGACCATCCTTGGATCCCAAAGTATCCTGCAGTCTCTAGAACATTACAGGCCACCAGGATAGCGGTGAAAATCTTCAATTGGTGGTGTTGCAATCCTTTGTCATTTACGCAAATGCGTTTGACTGTAAGAGCTTGCGTATATAAGTCAATAAGCGTCTTTGGGGGTTCGGAGCATCTTGAGCATGCTGAAGTCAACTTTCCTTGTAGTCTCCACCATAGTGCAGTGCATTATGACATGAAATAATCCCCTGCTATAGTAAACATTGAACTTCGAGTGGATCACAATCATTGGATTGGTGGTGTTGGCACAATGTCAGTTCTGCTACTGTTTTCATCTTGCATCGCTTAGGCACCCACAGTCCAAGGATCATTCCATGTCATTCCAGTAGTTTCTGGGTGTTCGTTCCAACATAATTCGGAAAGCGGGATTTGAACGTGGTGAAAAAGGCAGCAAGAATCAAAGCAAGAGGTTGAAGCAAGGCATTAAAAAAAGAAACATGCAAAACAAATGAAGCAGCCGAAATGACAGCAAATCCAAAAGGTTTGCATCACAAGTCATTGGACGTCAAAGGACTTGCTTACGACTCGAAACTTGCGATTCATTCACTGTGACGCAGGACTCATTTCCGCTTGCGCTTCTGCGTTGCAAGGAGAACAGTCACACAAAGCATGCCAACAAATTTGAGTATGGCAGCAGTGGTGCCCGAATTGGTGAGACATACACGGGGGCCTTTCTTCGGCTCAGCTTGCACGTTTTGCAAGAACCGGTACCAATACATCGGCAGCGGCTGTACTATTCGCAAGCAACAGTATGAAAAGAAAGCTTTGAGAACATCGAACATGACAGTTCAAATCGTTTGACTGAAGTCGTTTTCGATTGCGTGCGAAGTGGCTGGATTCTTAGTGCCCCCCCCTTCATGACACCCGACTCTCGATGGCCAATTCATTGACTGCGGCTAGTGCAAACCTGGACTGCTTGTCTTGTCAAGAGCCATCGGAAGCGAGTGACCGTGTGGCCCGCCACACCAGGTGCAGTGCGACCACTGAGTGAGACTTTCATCATGCACACTCTGTGCAATCTTCAACGCTTGCAGCAAGAAACGCGGGGATTCAGTGTGACTGTTTGAGAATTCAACTGAGCTCAAAATGGCATGGCGTTGCTAACATCATGTGACTCATGTTGTATGCGTTCTGGCCGAGTCTCACATGTAAGACAGTCAAGAAGCTGCTTTGACTGCTTCCTCAAGTTTGGCCTGAAAAGGAGAAGCTGGGATCCAAAGCACCGCTGTGAGACCCGGATCCAAAGCACCGCCGTCCAGCCTTATCGGCCTTGAGTTTCTCTACCTCAGTCCTGGAAAGGCAAAGCAAGAAACCTGTAAAACCCCCTGGACGGTTTGAGGTTGAATGATTTATTCTATTTTGTAGAAGCCACATTTTCTTGGAATGATCAGATTTGTTCAGCCCTGTCCTAAGCTTTGCCAGTTCTGCCTCGTCCACCGGCTGTCCAAATTCTCCACGATCATATTTTGTTTGGTCCAGGAGCCACTGGCAGAATTGCACACATCACACACGTTGATCAGGTATCCACAATCTAACCCAAACTGGAAGCGATGCTTTCGAATCAACTATTCTTTTTGACGGCCTTCATCATGAACTCTGCAGGGTCGTCTGGGCATTTGATGAGCACAGCTGTGACCAGCGCCTAGTGCGGATTCAACTCTTTGCTAGCTGGACTTGCAAGACTCTGGTGTGGAATGCAAAACCCACCTCCATGATAGGATTCATCTTTTCCTGCGCAGGCAAGACTGTTCAAGAATTTCCAGCAAAGTCTAGCAACAAGTGCCTTTTTGACTTTGGCCATCCAAAACCTGAAGCCCTAGTGTCTCAATGCGTCAACAAAGTCCGTGCAAGGGTTGCGCGGACATGCCCTGCTTTAAGCAGGCCACAAATTCTACCGCATTTGTGCCACTTTGGCTGAACTCTGTCAGCTTGGCGCCGTGGGCCGTGAGCTTTGCAGGCCCCAAATTCCTTCTTTACAATGGCCCTTCCGCTGCAGACTTCTGCAACTTGGTCGAACCTTCAAAATGGGCTCTGCTACCTTGACCATTTTGATCAAAGCACAAACAATGCAAGCATGGAGTGTCAGGGATCTAAAGGAGAGACAGAGTCAGTGTCGGGAAGAAATGCACCAGAAAGGGTTCGACACCAAACTACATTCCACCTGATGGCACTCGTCACAGACCGAGCAGCTCGGTCTCTGGAAGAACTAGACCCAACTCACTCAACCTGAGGCCATGCTCCGGGATCAGTGGGACGCACCGCACCTGACGTGACACGTCAATCAAATGGTTTTCAAAAAACTGCTGTGGCTCAGACCAGAGAACTCAAAAGGCACCGGAGTGCCAGGTGGCGCTGATTCCCATTCCTGGTGTTTCAGCACAAGATGCGTCAGGATCTTTGCATGGCTTGAAGCCTTCATCTGCAGTCTAGGGCCCCTTGCTTTCTTTTGCACCGGTCGCATGGCCTTGCGCCTCAACAAGGTCTGCTGATCGAGACTGTGTGAACATCTTGATTGCGAAGTGCGGTGGGATTTGGTGGAGTCCCTGTGACTTTGTGCTTGCTGGTGGATTGGGCGGACGGGGCAGGTAAAGGGTGAAGAAGTAGGGACATTGACAGGGAACGATCAGTTGGCTCAATCGCTTATAGAATGAGAAAGAGTTTGCTCTTGAGTTTGAGGCAATTGCCTACTCTGTGCCGCCTGTTTTACAGTATTTCAAGGTTGCAAAGTGTTGAGGCTCCGACCAGGGCGATGATCCAGCAGGAGAAATGCAAGGGCTGCGGCCCTGAGACACGTTCGCTTCGAAGATCTTCAAAGAGATTCAGAGTTCGATCAATGCCTCCTTGCTCACTGTCTGCGCTCGTTCAGCAGCAGAAGGTATTGGGAGCAGAAGGCGGCCCTAGCCAACAAAAAAAGCAGGCTGTGGAGCCGTTCAATTCCAAAAAGCCACCTGAGGCTTTCGTTGTGGAGACGAGCTTCTTGATGGAGCCTGCCCAGCATAAGCGCAAGCAAATAGGGCAAGTTCTCACAAACGGTCCATGCTCTTCCTTTTCCAAAATCCCACCTTGGCACCAGGAGGCAAGGACAGTCCGGCTTTGCGCTCTGGGCTTGTACCGCGCTCTGATCTGCCAGACCTTCAATGTGATGCTCAAGGTCTCCACCAATTCTATGTGTGCATTAATAAATAAAGACACAAATTCAACAACAAACAGGTCTTGTACTACAAGGACGCACGCGTCCGCTACTTCAATGATCGGCACCAAAGCTTCGGTGGCCTTGCCGGGCTATTTGAGGGGCTTAAGCTGCCCCTCACCGCAGAAAATGCCGCTGTGGCCACATTGAGGATGCTCGTCGGGCTTATGGGGGATACCTCGACTGCCACTGTTGCTTTGCGCGTGGTAGAATTGGTTCTGTGAAGTCTTAGCCCAACACATCTCTCCAAGTGGAGCGTGCTTCAATTTCCTGCTTCACAGTTTATGCAGAGTGGCCACTTTTGCATCCTTTTGTGCTATCTGCACAATCTCACTCTGCCTGCCTGTGCCAACTCATCTGCAAATTCCGCAACCACAGCCTCTGCTGCTGCTGCCTGTAAAGAAAAAAAACTTATATACATCTCATCCAGTGTTTCAAAAGTCAGGTGATCTGAATTAAAGGCTGCGGATCCTTCCTGGCCTCTGGCACTGGTTCCCCCTCTGGCAGTGGTGACCTCACCTTGGCTTCAAAAAGCCGTCAGGTCCAATTCTGTTGTTGTTCACTGAGCATCTCAAGTCTGAACATCTTTTTCATGCCTCTTGAGCCATGTGTGGAGTTCAGGATAATCTTCAGCAAAATAGCTTGATTTGCCATGAACTTAATTTAGGGTCTTAGAAGGCGCACTATTGCTGAAACAAAGGCACGGACCTGCTTTGAGGGAGACATACTTGATCCCGGAGCAGGAGAGTTCTGTCAAGCTCTCAAAGAATGCATTGGCCCATGAAGAAAACTGCAAGAGCTGATCCCTAGCAGTTCTGCCTGTCTGCACGACTTTGGACTGGCCTTGGTGGGCAAAGACCCATCCACACGTTCGCTCAACGAACAGACAGACTGAGCAGAGCCTCTGAGCCCAATGCGAACCCACTTGGTGGCCTCTTGCTCGGAGATTCCACTTGACAGCGGAGCACCTTGCGGCAACATGTGCATGGCAACACAGGGGTGCAGTTGCGCCGGTTGCAGTCATCACCGAAGACTAGATTGAATCATAGGCATGTGCACTCACTAGGGTTCAATGTGTTTTCCACTGCTGCGGCCTCGTTCTCTTTGCGAAGCTCGAGATTTTCGGCCAACAGCTCATCATGGGCTTGAATCAGATCAGGAAGATCCACCCTGTCAGTCTTTTACAGTCAGCCCGATTCAGAGCAAGGAGTACAACAACCCCTCCGGCCTACATCCAGACTGAGCGCGCGATAAGAAGACCTCAAGCCTCAATTCGCATCCCTTCAACACCATTCCAGTGCCAATCCTGCCAAAGGGCATCGCTACTAGGAACAAGAAGCTATTAGGGGCTCCTGGCCTTACTACTAGGAGCAACGACGCTACTAGGAAGATGCTTTTTGTCGCCCTGACCTTCCAAGGCTCACACGGTCCAGACTCCGCACGAGCCGCTGGCAGTTGTCCCCTGCCGAGCAAAGCCTCTAGGCGAAGGCTGCCTTAGCCGTTGATGCACCCTCTTCGGAACTCTGATGACGCAAGCTCTTCTGGGGCTGCGACTCCCATGCAAGCTGCCACCCTCGCGCTAAAGAAATGGGAACTGTTGAAGTGCTTTCAAGACGGCGAATGGTGCAGTCCTCAGCTCTTTCCAAATCGTCTTCCTCTTCCTCATCCTCAAAGTGAAGAATGAAAACTACTCTGGCCAGCCAGAGAAAAGATTGCAATCCCCACACCAGAGTGCAATCGGCGAAAGAACAAATTTGACCTGTCACACAAACGTAGTACATAGTCAAATGGCCTTCTCATACGGCATACATACATACATACATACATACATACATGCATACACAAACTGCTTAAGGGCTTACGCCCGATAGCCGGCCAGGGGCCCAAAACAGGGGAAGGGGGAAGAGCAAAGAAAGTGGAAGGAGGGATTTTTAGTACTGTCACAATTATCATTATTTTTATTATCGTTGCTATATTGTTGTTGTTACTGTTTTTTACTATTGTTGTTATTACTATTGTTTTATTACTACTACTATTCTTATTGCTGTTGTTGTTGTTGTTGTCGTTGCTGTCGTGGTGGTGGTTGGGGTTATCTTGGATCTATGTTACAGGCTCGAGCCCGTCTTGGACCTATGTTGGCCCATCTTAGGCTAGGTTGTGGGGTCTTGGGGTCATGTTGAACCGATCTTGGATCTATGTTACCAGCTCTGGGGCCTATGTTGGCCCATCTTGGACCCATGCTACAGCCATCTTGGACCTATGTTGGCCCATGGGGGGCCTATGTTGGGCCATCTTGGGCCCAGGTTGAGCCTATCATGTTGAGCCCGTCTTGGGCCTATGTTGTCCCATCTTGGGGCTATGTTGGCCCATCTTGGGGCTATGTTGCGCCCGTGTTGGGCCTGTGTTGGAGCTATGTTGGTGGTATTTTGTGCCATTTGACATACTCTTAAGATGCGACATTTTCCCTCCCGGACCCCCTCTCCGAGGCCCAAGCCACATAAAAAACACGGTTCTTGAACATGGCCAAACGAAAACCAGACCCCAGCCAAGCGCACGAAACACTGTAAAAAAGCGATGAACAACGCGCGCAAAAAACACTGTGAAACACGGGGTTGTAGGTCCGGCCCCCTGGGGTCTTGCGTAGTATCCCCTGGGTCGGCGGCACAAAATGCAGCGCCTCTCTCCTTCGGAGAGGAGAGAACCCTTCGGGAGGACACGCTACGGGTTCTGGGCTGGCCGGATTGCACCCGCAACAGCACAGCACCATGCAAGACAAAAGGGATGCAGCAGACGCACAACACAAAAAGAACTAGAATGAACGAAAGACACACCAAGAGAAAGAAACAAATGGATGGAATTCAGGATGCCAAAACAATTGTGCAGAAGTATACTACGACTATCTTCCACTGAGATCTGCCAGTGCGCTTCGAATGTCTTCACCGTCTTCATTCACCCCAACAGCGGACTCCCGACAAATGGTACAGGCTCAGTGCAAAGCGGCAAAGCCAAACCAAAGCCATGGAGACCGGGAGACCCATCTTAAGAGACATGACATCATGAGTCTCCAATCCCAAGAACACACGTAGTGTTGTCCAAGTAGGGTCTCTCAGGATTAATGCATCATTGCCCAGCGCATGAAATACAGTACTGACTGAAAGGAATTGTAAGCACGAACCAAAAATAACATCTGTTTCCAAGCCTTCACCCCTTGCAGTCGTACACGCAAACGAGGTCTTACTGGAGCGTACATCCTGGGAGCGAAACAATTCACAAAGAACATGGTGAAAAAAGTGACATCTACTCGCTTCCGCGACCAGAAATCGAGAACGATCAAAAGGTTGCCTTGCAGATTTCGTTTCACAAGGCAACTAGGTCCCAAGCATCTGCTGTGCCAAAGATGTTGCATTGCACTGGCACTCAGGCGGAGAATATCGTGGCCCTTGACCTTCTGTGATCTCCTGAGCATCTGCAACAATGATGTGCCAAAGAGAGGACAGTGCTGCATATCGATGTGTTCCAGCCTGCCAAACCGGCATGAGCCTCAGTGCTTTCTGACTCAGCGCGTTTGCACTGAATTCCACTCACAAATTTCAGTGTCACACGCGTCGAAAAACTCTTCCGGTAGAAACTCCTGCGTTTTCTCCAGTTCCATATGCAGCGCCTGTCCAGAGATCGGACAGACAGCGGGTCAAATTCCTGTGAAGCGATGGATGAGACCAGTAAAACCCCGAGTACTGGAGTTTTTGCGGGTGTCTTCTAGGGTCCAGGAGGTCCACAAGCTTCCATCATGCACTGAAGCACCATGTCCTTGTCTTTCTTGTTTGAGCCGCCCTTACTTCATCAAGTAGGCGCATACTTAATCAAGTAAGGGCCAAACAAGCTACTATATAGCTACAGGACACAGGATTAGCTCATGCTTCTTCAAGGAAGCTCCCCCAGCTTCCTTGAAGAAGCGCTGGCACTATTCATTTGGTTCCAGAGATAGACAGAAGAGCGCTCGGCCAAGGGACTTCGGTGTCTCTGGCCTTTTTGGGCAATCCACGGACTCGGCGCTCCCGTCGATCACCGACTCCTCGAAGGCACGACAAGAAGCTTCCAAGACCTCAAGGATCGCAGCGCCGCAGCGGAGCTTTACAGAGTGGCACTTGTTTCTACTAGCGTCCTTGCTACTACTAGTAAGGCACTTGTTCCTAGTAGCTTCTTGTTACTACTAGTAAGGCACCTGTTACTAGTAGCGTGGCACTTGTTTCTACAAGCTCAGGGATCTTGTTGGGTAATGAACCACATCTGTCACATGCAGTGCCTTGATTCGATTTTTCTGTCGACCTATTAGCCATTGAGTCTCAAGAAATCGAGGTCTGCATCTTTGGCATACCTGGTTTTCCGCAACCTAGCAAATTCACTCAAAATCCCTCGCAGCTTTGGCAAGGTAAGCAAGAAACACAGGAGACTCCAATAAAATTGGATGGAGAAGTTCATCCGTTCTCATCCTTTGGTTTCACAACCAAAACAGACTTAAAGTCTTCCCATTGGCTGCAGAAACTGTCGTAGCTTCTCTGCATGGACACTGCGAGTGGAAACCTTGGATGTAAGACGCTGGGAACACAACTTTGATGGATACAAGGGGGAGACAAATGGAGAAAGCACCAGTACACTGGCGCTTCAAGAAGCTTCTCTTTCTTCTGGAGTTGGCTCTCAATAGAAGCCTCAAAAAAGGGAGCAAAAACACTTGCGATTCTCCGATTGAGCCATGAAACTGAGGATCAGACCTGCCAAATGACCTGAGGTCATGATCGCGACCAAAGGTGTGGCACTTTCCCAAAATAACCAAACAAGACATCAACAAAAGCACCAAACCATTTTTACATAGTTGTTTACAATTCATTAAAGCAAGCATTCCTGAGCTAAGCTTGAGCCCGAGAGGCTGGTTTCAGGCCATTCACAACTGCTTCTGCCAGATCCTTGACAACTCGACGGCTCTTCGCGTCAAGCTCTGCAAAGACCTGACACAAGAACTCAACAGCGAAAACAAATAGCGAGAGCAACTTCTCATGGCAGTTCACATGCCATTCTGCAGCCAGCAAACACAAAAACCCAAAGACATGGTGTCCAAGTAGTCATTGTCCTCACACCCGTGGGCTCGAAAACAAGCTCCGACATATTCGAATCAGTCAGAAAGCAATACAACACAAAATACAGCTGACAGAAAATCAGAAGATAAGGGCCCCTTTATATAATAAGGCCCCCTCAAAGGAGGCCTACAGGGGCCAAAATACCTTCGTGCTTCCTTCATTATTATTAGTTATTCATATGTATGTATGTATGTATGTATGTATGTATGTATGTATGTATGTATGTATGTATGTATGTATGTATATATATGTATGTGTATTGTATATACATATGTATAATGTATATATATAAAGACTCACCCCGGTTACTCCTTTTCACTT